GTTGGAAATATTTTTTCTGCTATTGATGACAGGACGAGGTCTAAAAATGAATGGATTTTAGATTCGGGTTGTTCTTATCACATGTGTCCCAATAGGGATTTGTTTTCCACATATGAATCTTGTAATGGTGGAATTGTTTTGATGGGCAATAATGCCGCATGTGATGTTGTTGGTAGAGGAACAATCCGAATTAAAATGCATAATGGTATTGTGAGGACGCTCACTAATGTTAGACATGTTCCTGATTTGAAAAAGAATCTTATCTTTTTAGGCACCCTAGAGGCCCTTGGGTGTAAATACACAGCTGAAGGTGGAGTTATGAAAGTTTCTAGAAGTGCTCTTATTATTATGAAAGCTTGTAGGTCTGGTAGCTTGTATATTCTGCAGGGAACTACTGTCACAGGTTCAGTTGCAGTCTCGTCATCATCATTGTCTGATTCTGACATCACCAAATTATGGCATATGCGTTTGGGTCATATGAGAGATATTCGACCACCACAAAGATATGCAAATTTGGTTGCATATGCTTTGTCTGTTGCAGAAGAAACAAGTGAAGTTGGTGAGCCTACTTCCTATTCAGATGCAGTTTCTTGTGATAATTCCACTAAGTGGTTGATTGCTGAGGGAAAAGTCCTTGTTCAGAAAATTCATACGAAGGACAATCCGGTTGATATGTTTACGAAGCCTCTTCCGGTTTACAAGTTCAAGCAGTGCTTGGACTTGGTTGGTGTTCATTGTTGGTGATTGCCCGTTGGGGCTTTTGTGAAGAAGGTGGAGCAAGTTTTGTTGGGACATGCCAAGGTGGAGATTTGTTAGTTTGGCAAGTCTCATAGTCCCACATCGGGAAAATTAGACTTGTTGTCTCGTCTTGGAACTATAAATAAGGGCCTGAGCTTTGAAGTTAGACACACCACGAGAAGTACCACAGACACCACAAGAAGTACAGCAGGCATCACAAGAAAACCTGCTTATGGTTTGAAATCTTCTTGTTTAGGAAACTGAAGGTGTTTTATGGCCTAGGAACATCTTCCTAAGGCATTTGTAAGTGTCCCTCTTTTATAGTAGTAATTTGCTCCTCTTTCTTCCGTGGATGTAGGTCAAAGTCAATTGACCGAACCACGTATATCTGGTGTTTTGTTTGTTCTTGTCGCTTTATTCTTTCCGCTTTATTGTCTTTGTTGTGTTGCCAAAATTATCCTTTGGTAAATATCCTGGGGCTAGCTCTAACAAAGTGTATGCTAATTGCAAAGATGAAGAAGACATTTAGCCAGCCAAGTTAACCTGAGCAAAGTCAACTCCACAGAACATGACCTGATTACAAGTTCATATGCAGATGAAGCTTGTAGCTAAAAACTTTATGGTCATGCAGGTTCAATCACAGAAGGCTTTGCACTATTTCCTGTGATGCTCTCACAAGGAAAGTTTGAGAGTCATCATCACTAATCTGTAAAGCTATGATTACCGGTGGTTGGATGTTGAGTTTGACTTCCATTTCCTCAAATGGCTTGGTTCTTTTTCTGGTGGATACCATGGTATTCATGTGAATCACATAAAAAGAGTGAAAAGCCACCACCCTTGCTGGTTGGCTAATCTTGAATGTTGAACTGAGGAGTCTTTGCCAGGTTAGGTTAGAAGGATCAGATCAGGGCTTGAATTGTACACCAGCAAATAGGTGCTAAGAATCAACATTTATGGATCATTTATCTTGGTTAAAGATATTGTACCCTAGCAAAAATGTAACATATTTGTATAGCTTCAACTCATCTGCAATTCTAACTGCAAACATCTGAAGAAACAAAAAGCACAGTTTGCAGTAACACTTTCATAAATACTGTTCTTTTCATCTCCTTTTTCTTTTGATTTGCTTTCAGAGAAAAAGATGGAAGGAAGCCAAGTGATTAGCATGGATTAATCAACATTGCCTTGGATAGATTTTGTCTTATCTTCTTCCTCCTCTGCCTCTTCTTCTTCTTCTTCCTCTTCTTCTTCTTCTTCTTCTTCTTCATCTTCGTCTTCATCTCCTTCAGGGATTTCCTCATCCGGGTGGACTAGTTGCAGCTTGAGCCGGCCATCTTCGCGCGAAGCGTGCAAGAATTCCTTGGTGGGGATTCTGATCTCCCTCAGAACAAACCTCCCCTCATGCCTGTAAGACTTGAAGTAGATCCATGGCTTGCCGCTCTTCCCGATAGAAGAAATGGGAGGCGGAAAGCCACCTGTCTTCGTCCTCACATCAGAACAGTTGTTCGGATGTCCACCGCCAACCACGGCCTGCTTCTCCTTCCAACGATCGCTGCCCCGGTCATCACCATCCTCCTCGACCAGGTCGTCAACATCATCAGAGCTCTCCGAGCCGAGCCTTTCGGTGCAGAGCTGCAGCTTGTCCGAACTCTTCAGAGGGAAACCGTGGTTGGAATCCGGAGGCGGCGCGGGCTTCTCTTGGAAGTGCAACTCGCCGAAGATCTCGGTGAAGCTGCAGGCATTGTCCACCGGCTTCTTGGCCATGATCTGGCTCCAGGATGACAGGGACTCCATCAGCGTCGGGTTTTCCGGCCTCGGCTTCTCAAACAAGGAGCTCAAGCTACCACAGGCTGCCATGATCCTGATCCTGGTGCGGAAAGAACGAGAACTCGATCTGAACCAATCAACTACCAGTACAGAGAAGGTGAAGGAGGAGGAGGAGTGTAACACCCCTGATTAGTCTCACATCGAAAGTGGGCAAGATTAAGATTGACTTATAAGGGTCTGATAAGTGTACTACTATCAACTTCAGCTTAAGCATTTTGGTCAGTGGATTAGACCAAACGAAGTTGATAGGCTAGTTAGCTCATCAGGCTCGGGTCATTATATTTGGTATCAGAGCCGACCTAGCATTTGGGCATGGTGAGGGGGCTCGAGTAGGAAAGGGCTACCCGTAGACGGAGTCAGAGGACTCGTCACGGCGTGGAGCCACCACTGGGTTGCGCCTCACATGCACTATGCTAGGGTTTGATCTGGCTTGACGAGGACGTCAAGCCTTTGAGTATGGGTGATTGTAACACCCCTGATTAGTCTCACATCGAAAGTGGGCAAGATTAAGATTGACTTATAAGGGTCTGATAAGTGTACTACTATCAACTTCAGCTTAAGCATTTTGGTCAGTGGATTAGACCAAACGAAGTTGATAGGCTAGTTAGCTCATCAGGCTCGGGTCATTATAAGGAGGGTCGAAGAAGGCTCGGAGATTAGAAGGAGAGGTGGTGGTGGATTCTTTGACATGTGGTTTACTGGCCACTTCCCTCTTCTGCATGGCTTTGCAAGCATATGAATGACTGCTGCTGCTGCTGCTGCTGCTAACCATGGTGATGATCTCCTTTGGGTCCTTGTGATTGATGGTGGTGATTCAAGTAAGTGTAAGGAACTTTCCATTAATGCAAGATCTAAGATAATATATGCGGTCTTCCCCTTAAATAGTAAGAGGTTTCAATGACTCAAATCTCAATCTTATCATTGTACTAAAACCTAAAAGGATGGATTACAACAAAAACTAGATAAGTTAATTGGAAGAACATGATGCAGCTGAGTGATGATTCATCTTTTAGGTCTTCACAGCTAAAAAGCACAGAAATAAGATAGAATGTGATGAGAGGCCATGTGGCTTCTCCTCGATCTACGATCTCGACAAGCTTATCTCTGTGGCCTCAGGATCGCCAAAAGAGCCAATCCAGATAAGGAGGGACTGAGTCTGGATTCAACAGGGACGAGGTTGTTGATGAGAGCCACTGAGAGGTGTGTGGAGCCCAACCAGCGGACGTGTCACACAAGGTGGCGTGGATCACTCTCCTCGGTTCATGCATCTGTGGAGCTACTCACCGATCGTGCCGACGGAGTCGGGGAATATGCAGCTTTGTAAGAATATGCCATGGAAGGAAGCAGACAGGTCGCTATCAGACGATGGGTTTGAGATGCTGCTGATAAGATGATGATGGCATTGTGAGGAGCAATGTTTGCTATCCTGAAGTGTAGATTGAATGTTGGCGAAAATTTTAGATGAATATTTTCTTTATTTATTTTTTTTTCAAATAAATAATTTTTTAAAATATTTCAAATTTTAAATGAATAATTTTAGATGATCGAGAGATTGACGAGAGACTACACAAGATTCCATCAATATTTCAGCTAAATCATCTTTCCTAGCAAGGTTTTAAATCAAAGCACACCACCACATGTTCAAGCCAATAGCACAGCAGTGACTTGCATGGAGGCAAGCGAAATTATAGTTCGAAACAACCAACATCGTAATAGCATTACGTTTGTATATCCTCAGCCTCAAGAACAGAATTGGCCAAAGAAAAGCTTGCGAGCACTGTTCAACAGCTAAATATGAGTCTTAAAAATTGTTCACGGCAACAGGGTGAAAAAACAATGCACAAATAGTTTAAAGCCGCCTTCCTCTTCTGCCGCCCTTCCTGCGTGTGCTGTCAGTAGGAATTGGCGTCACATCCTCTGCAGAATTAGGATCAGCAACAGTTAGTTGCAGCACAAAGTGGAAGGAAATAGTAAAATAAATGAGAAAAAAAATAAACAATCAAGTAACTTGAGATAATAATTGATAGAATCAAAGCCATGAACCAGACGTCCAAAGAGAAGAAATATTTAAAAGATGCAGAGTGGACATCTTGACAGTCTGACTGGTGAAACACAATTCTTTATCAACATAACATCCCAGCATTCTGGCTGAAAAAGAGGTAAAATGTAATATTTCTATTAGATTGCACCAATAAAAGTGTTAGATCACAAAACACATTCCTCCCAGACTGAAAAACAATTAACCAGCAATTGGTCAAAATAATGGTTCACTTGATGTGATCAATTAGCACAAAATAGTGCTTATATCAACATTATTTGATCGAGTCAACCTCACTTCTAAACCTGGACCCAATTACCAAGTCCGATAACTATTGCTAATAGGTCAAACTTTACACATCCTGCTGAACAGCTTTTCTAGATCCAAAACTTGAGGATCCATACCCAAATTACCATATCAAATTTTCAGGCTTTCAGCTCATAACAATAGACTCATGGAGTTGACCTCTTTACTTGCAGTGGGTAAAGTTGCAATCATCAATCCTCCCAAACCCCACATTGCAGATGCCTGGTATATGCCACCCTATTCTTTTAACACAACTTTAATAAGACTAGGTTGAAATCCATGTCTACCTCACATGAGAACGAACAAGTCTAATAACTAAAGTATGCTGGCAAGAGCTCATTAATGACCAGATGCACCACAGTGAAAAACACAGTGGGAGCGCAGCACTACTTTTACATCATCACTACCACAAGTTATGGATCCAAAGAATCAGTCTTACCACAAGTTATGGATCCAAAGAGTCACAGAGTGGTATCAGTCAGAAAAACTATAAAAACATAGATCCAAAAAATCATGGAAAGCATCAGTCAATAATTAAGCAGGGATGAACCAAAGCTTGTACAAGGACAAAAATTATTGAGTGCAAAAAAAATGCAAGTGTAAATTTGAACATCAAAACAGTAGCAGTAACAAGTCAAGACAAAAAGCTAGACAATAGTGAAGACCAAGCAACAAAGCATCTTGGCCATGTGGCATGCCCATCAAGATATTTCTGTGCATCTCATGCAATTTAAGTAAAAAATAACCAATTACAATTAATAGTGGAAAATAGAAAATGCATCTCCTAATAAAGGCACACTCTTCAGAATAAAAAACAGCTTATAGAACCAGATAAGAGCTGATACGGGAATGACTAACGACACAAATTCTAACTCACCAATACGCCCGATTTTCATTCCAGAGCGAGCAAGTGCCCTAAGGGCAGACTGAGCACCAGGGCCAGGAGTTTTTGTCTTATTCCCGCCAGTAGCTCGCAGCTTAATATGCAGAGCAGTAATCCCAAGTTCCTGCATAAGTAAAATGAAAAGTAGGCCATCAGCATGACCATTTAAAATAGGATACTCAACACCACAAAACGGCAGACCTTGCATCGCTGTGCCACATCTTGCGCTGCAAGCATAGCTGCATAAGGAGATGACTCATCCCTATCAGCTTTAACCTTCATACCACCTGCAAATAGAAGCATTCCAAAGTCACTGATCATACCATAAAATAAAAGTAGTCCAGAAAGAAACCCTACACCTCAAATGGAGTGGAATCTGAAAAAAAAAAAGCTTTATCACTGTCCTCTATGCGGCAGTAAATTCCAGGCAAAATATCATCGGAAAAGCCATGTATCTAGGTATGAATATTTTTCAAGCATAAATAACATACAAGTTACATGCAATTTTGTCTACCCAACTTGTTCTACACGCATGCAATTTTAAGAAATGCATCTAATAAAGTATTGTTGAATCATAATTTGAATTATTTTTCCCTTGGGTTGCATATCTGAAGTTCGTTCAGTATCTAGCTTGGTATAACCTATACAAACCAAAATAAGAAAGGGGCAAAAGAACAAAGGAGACTTCAATAATGACCTTATTAATGGGAAGATTCAATTTTCATAATTACTTCATAAAATCGAGCTTTGTAATGCCTGGGTAAACCTTATAAAGAAGAGAACAAAATATTAATGACTGCAGGTTGAACCAATGTGAAACACAGAAAAGGAGAATTATTGAACACTGTTTGATAATGATATTTTTTGTAACATCACAAGATACATGTCCAGGAAGTGAAAACTCAACCCTAAAGCAAGTGGAGCTTCTCCTTGTTTGAGCATGACCAGATCAACATTAGCTTGGTCTTCACATATCCTTACTTCGTATTATGTCCAGGTCCCTCAAAAATCACACCTCATGTCAGTTCAATTCATAGATACAAATCTCAGTAGTACCCATTGGTAAGGACCCGTATTTACCATTGCTGCCTCTCTTTCTCTGTGTGGTTAAGGTAGTACCGACTCGCACCAACACTCAATATGCTGACTAGTACTAGTACCATACCAGTACAACCACTGAGCGGTAGTGGTACTAAACCCAGGTTTTAATCCATGATTTAATTAATAAATATTATAACTGCACATATACCCCATAATCAATATATTTTGCTCCCTAAACCACTGAAAGTTGATTTTTCGTATATTGATTATAAAAATTATATCTAAACAACATTCAATAATGTTGCTGTAACTTTCTTATAAAGATGGGAAAGAAGCAGATCAAATATCCTCCAGATTAAGAAATTTTAAAAGGTTTGGAATACAAACCTGTAATTCGAACCAAGGTTTCCCTCCCAGAAAGATCTGTAACATGCTGCAGTTCAAACAAATAAACTGTCAGCAGGAAACAAATGATATAAGTACTTTCAGTATCAAGAGCACATTAGAACTCACAATAAAGGTATCATTGAATGATGCAAATATATGAGCAACACCAAATACTTGCTCCCCTTCGCGGACTGCAGGCCCTAGTGTCACATTCTCCTCCTTGGGCTCCCTGGTTTTCTTTCGTCCAGACTGTGGACCCAGATCCAGGAACAATGAGATTCCACTATAGAGGTAATTTAGAAGCTCAAGTAGAGCAATTTAGAATTAACCAAATCAACAAGGTGCAAATTATTTTACAAGAGATAACTGCCAGTCACAAGCACATAACCTTAGACGAAAAAGAGACTTTACCAAAAGATCAATACAAATAAGTTTAAGCTGATCCATAATTCTATTTGCACAGCACCGCAAGGACATTAATTCAGAACCAAGACCTAAATTTCACAACACCTTTAACAAACATGGAAGAATAAGCATAAAAATATCTTCTTTACAACACCAAGAGGAATACAAATCCTCAACAGCCATAAAAATCGTTACTACTGTTCATGCGTCCGAAAAGCATCTCAGAGCAATGGCAACTGAAATAAAAACAATAGTTTCTAGTACCCAAAATCTGAAATTTCACCCAAATCTTTCAGACGATTCGCTCAGTTACAGGAGAAAAAGAACTCCACGTTTCCAAAGAAGTGGTTTAGGCTGCATAAAAACGCTCAGGAAAAGATTGATTCATCGCCGCTATGGATCCAAAATAGATAACTAAAACTAATCCAAGAGTTACAAGCGGATGAAACGAAAACGATAGCGAGGAGAGGGTTCTTGAGATCTCACCATGGTCGAAGTGGGAGCAGTAGAGAACGGCTGCGAGAGATCCCCCGGTCCGCAGCAAAAGGGATGCTAACCCTAGTGGCTGGTTGGCCGGTGCCTTATATAGGACGTACTGTTACCCGTTCTAAACTTACCCAACGTACCCAGGCGACGATTGTGACGCAGGATCTGGCCCACCCGTACCTCACTTTCCGAGTAAAGTTTGGGTACACTTGTATGGTTTCGGCTTCATCGAATGTGCGGGTGTTAATGGGTCGGATTGAGAGAGCGCCGACGGGCTGTACTAATGACCCGATCCGACCCGTTTTACTAACGGATCGCATCCGAGTCGGTCGGAGCCCATTCCACACGACCCACTATCCCTGTCATCTGAGATATTACAGCAAACAGCTATACACCAAATCACAAGGCGGCACGTACTTACCTGCAACACGTGATACATCAGAGCGGTAAAACCACGCGTCGCCACCAAATTACAATGCGACAATTTCGGTAAATAAAATTATGAAATTACGATTTAATTCTCAGGTGAACGATAAGAACGACTTGTGTTTCATCGAATGACCGAAGAACAAAGGGTATAAAAGTCATATCACGCCAGTGCGGTGCGGTGTCGCTCCATCCGCATATAAGCAGCTGATGCCGTGCGGCCGCCTTCCCCAATTTCTCCTGCCTCTCCGCTTAATCGTTTTCCGGAAGTCCGCCGCTGTCATCCGTCTCCACTTCCTTTCCACGAATTCTTTCACTTCTCTGATCGAAGATATCGAGGTTCTTCTGGAATTGGCTAAGGCAATCTTCTTATTATTCGGATTCGTTGTTACTTTTGGTTCTTTTTTTCTCGCCGATTCTTTTGGGGATTTTAGGGTTTTCTTGGTCCGCTCTTTGTTTCGATCTTTCATTTTCTTTTTTTGTTTCTCCGGTTTCTTGTTTCTTGGTGATTCGATTGAGTCTTTTCTTGCGAAAAGTTTGCTTCGTGGGGAATAAGTTATTTATGGCGGATGGATTCTTGACAGGGAATTTGTGGCGTCTTTAGGTTTCTTCAGGCCTTCGATCGGCTGCGTAAGGGTTTGGTGAGGCTTATTTCTTGGTGGGTTTTCTGGGTATAAGAAGGGAAATTTGATGTCATGAGAATTGATAGGGGAATGCAGAGATTGGATTGCGACCAAGAGGAAAGCGTGCTGCGCCGGAAGGAACAGATTGGGCGGGGGCTTCGTGCGGGTTCTGCCAAGGTCAGAACTCGTAATAAAGGAATGCTTTGAGGTCCGAACCTTTCGAGTAGGGACAAAGAAGGGCTCAAAGAAGTTAAAGCAGCAGACAAGATAGGGGAAGAAGATGACTAGAATCTTTGTTCAGCGTGGATCGGTGGGGTCTTCCTCGAATGCCAATCGCCCTCCTTCGAACTCAGTGCCCCAGCCTTCTGCCTCTCAGGCTGCCTCTAGTTCCAGGGAGCAGGATGTAGAAAAACAGGTTCTTGAAGACCAGAGTGCACTAAACGATCCCAGAGAGCCATCAGAGAGTGGTGACGATAAAATATTGAAGCATGATGATCCTGGAGCTTCTACTGTAGTTGAGGGTGGTTCCAATGTTTGTTTTGAAGAGGACAGATCTATGCATGATGTCTCAGCTTCTACAGTTATTAGGCAAGAGACGAGTGAACCTTGTGTGAACCAAAAAGATTCTGTGCGATTATGTACTGGCTCATCCCAGATTGTTAATGGAGGTTCATACCCTCCACCACCTCCAGCCCCACCTCCAAAACCGTTTTCCACAAATTTGGGCTCAAGGAGAACCAGCTTGGGGTCTTCAAACACTGCAAGGATTAGTTCTTTAAGAAGGCAGTCAGCTTGGCCGGGTGTCTCAACGCGGTCACCATCAGAATCTCGGCCTTCTTCTCCAAGGTCATATGGTGAAGGGGAAGGTTACAATAGTGCAGATGAACAAGGCCCTTGCTATGCGTCCTCTTTTGATGATTCGGTATGATACCTTGTTGAATTTTGATCTTGCGAAGAAAAGACAACATGATTTAGACTAATTGTTTGAACCTTAAGTTCATATTTTTGGTGAAACATTAATTTACCTTTTGACATTTTTGGAGACATATTAGCGGACTAGATTCCATGTACTGAACATAATATCATCTTTTCTCTTAATTTAGTTTAAATAATTGTGTTTATACAATGGTTGTTTATGTGGTGGAAAATTTTTTATGATCCTCTTTATGTGAGATCTTGTAGACTTTTGATGCTTTGCATTCCTTTCTTTTTTACTTCTGATTTTCATCAGGCTATTAACTTTTTCTCCTGTTAAATTTTATGTCTTTCCATTATTGGATCTGTCATAGGCAAAGATATCTGCACTTATTGTCTGGATGCAGTACCCATTGTAGCATATTCGTTTGAGTTTTCCTACAGATAAATTATAATCTCAAATAAATTGCACTGAAAGTTCTCTTTATGGCTCCTAATCAATTTCATTTTAACAGATAATTTGACTTTTTATTGCCACAAACAAAAGAGCAGTGCTGTATCATTTTAACAGATATCACACCTTAAGGAGCAGTTCTGTAAGTGTCTACATAAGGGTGCTGCCTTCATTTAGTATATTATATCCAGTTAACATGTCTCGCTAGCCTTTGTGCCAACTGAAGAAAGATGACTTTAGCATCAGAGCATGTTGAGAAAATGGTGGTCAAATGATGGTGTCTTAAGCCACCACTGAAGTCATTGGGCATGGAAGACCACTAACTAAGATTTAGGTCTCATATTCTAGTTAGTATATCTATCTAATTGTGGCATGTTGTGTTGGTTATCCTTGTGTCAACTTCGTTAGAAAAAAAACATCCATTAAGTACTTCACGTCTTCAATCACGTCTTCCTCCTAGTATCTTTTCATCCAAACATTAAGCTAAAAGTATTATGAGGACAAAAAATTTGATGTTCATGGTGATTAAGCTTTTGATTTTCTTTCTATATGGTCCCTCGGTCGTCAAACTAATGTGTGAGGCCACTGTGAGGCTTGCAAGTAAGGCATTGTACCATTCCTATAATTTAGGGTGTCATCGCATATATTAGTTGGAGAAGATGGGTTTGGGTGGCTTTTGATCGGTGTTGGTGCTAATGTAAATTGTTATGGCGACAGCCAATATGTGTCAATACGGTCTTTTCACGAATTTAGTTGGAATTGCTTAAGTCGTGAGATATCCTTGAGATATTTGTCCACAAAGGGTCACTCTAAGAGCAACCTCGCACAAGTCCCGAAAGACTTACGTGCTAGTGAGACGAGACATATTAGGAGCCACCATCGGGTTAGACCTCACATGCATCATACTATGGTTTGATCTTGAACCATTTTGGTCCTTAATGAAAATACCAGGTCCATTTGTCGCACATTGGAAGTGGGTAAAAAGTTGAATTAACTTGTAGGGGTTTGATGGATGTCATACCGGTAACTTGACTTTAAGCATTGTGGGCCAATGACTTATCCTTAACAGAGTTAATGAGTTAGTTATCCTATCAAATTGGATTATGGCATTCATACCAATTGAGTGCAAAAGTTGCACTCACTTATTATATTTGGTAAATGATGATAACATTTACCTTTTCTTGTTTCTTAGTTGTGATGTGATTTTTGTTTTTCTGTTGTTTATGTCTATGAAATACTAAAATGTCAATTTCTTGTTAGGAGAGAGAAAGGCTGTTTGACCTTGAGATACGCCGAACAAAGGGTTTTGAAGTCAAAAAAATGTTGGAGGATGGGAATTGTCTTTTTCGGGCCGTGGCTGACCAAGTTTATGGTGAGCCAGAATCTTATGATCTGGCAAGACAAATGTGCCTGGATTATATGGTGAGTATTATTAAAAAAAAGTTCTTAAAATAGTGCTAATTTGGCAGTTCTATTATCATGCTACATGAATGATGTTATCCACTGCTGTATGGATTGCAGTTACTGGTATAGATTTTTTCAACTATGTAGTTAGTCATCATTGTATATGCATAAATTGATTTTCTACTTCTTTTATCAAGGAACAACTAGTATGTTTTTTGCCAATGAAAATGTTGTGGTTCATGCTAGTTTGTGTTGATGCTTGTCAACTTTAGATGATGTATCCTAATGCTTTCATGTTAGTGCATGGTGGTTAGATATGCATAATGCTTGTCATCATTGTATTCATCCTATTCTATTTTGGGAAGGCCCCTTAAACTCACATCATTTTACATGCCATCATAGCTTGTATTCAATGGGTTGTCCAGTCAAAATATGACTGATGAACAATAGGTTTGTCAGAATGTGATGATGTGTTATGTAACCAACAGAAGAGTCAAAAAAATAAGGCATTTGTAACTGAACAAGAACAGAGCTGTTAAAAATACTTTGGCCTAAATTTGCTTTGTCTCTAGTTAGCAGTCTAATATGCAAATTGTATTTCTTGGTTTAACAAACAAAAGTAACATCCTTTTTGCAGAAAAGAAAGGAATTTAATGTTAACATTTGGTAACAGCTGATGACAGGAATCTTCTTAATTTCACTTTGTAAAAGAAGAACATGAAATATAAGTCCTGTGGTTTAATCAGCGTTCATTAGAGCACTTTGTTGTCACAATATGAAACAAGGCTAGTTGGAAGAATATGAGATATGGGTAAAAGACGAGTAATTTAACTTCCTACAGATTAAATATAGAACAGTGAGAATTTATGTTATTTCCAAAATATGGTGTGCATGATCAAGGCTAGTTGTTGTAGATCGATATAGATAAGTTACCATTTTTTTTCTTTTTTTGCTCAGGAAAAAGAGAGGGACCATTTCTCTCAATTTGTAACAGAAGGCTTCACATCATACTGCAAGCGGAAAAGGCGAGACAAGGTAAATAATGTCGACCTTTTCATAATTGAAACAGCTTGAGTTATTATGCTTTATCCTTCGCCTAGCCAGCAAAGAAACTTAAATATTTTCTGAGCTTATGATATTCATCATTTAGACTACTCGCCAGGGTGTCTCAAGCTAGTTTGTAGCTACAACACAACAATTCTGGTGTATTCTGCAGATCAAAGCAACCCTAGTGTATCCTGAATTTCTGATATACATGAACCTTATGTCACACAAGCTTTAGCCCAGTAATTATGATCATGATTTGCTGTATTGGGTATCAGACACCCACAAGTATACTGTTGAACCAATACAGGTACAGTGTGCTGGCATACCTATGTTGGTATGGGTTCGATATCCATCTGAAATCTTAAAAAAATTTATTTCATAAATGAATCCTACCTAGTGTTAGTCAAGATTCATATAATTTATGTGGTTGAAGTCTACAACACAATATATTGCAGTGAAATATGTGTCAGAAAAGGATCAAACATGGAATCTAAAGTATACATTGTAGTGCACAAATAAGTTAAAAGAGTCATGTAAACAATTGTGCATGATAATTGGTTATATATGAAGACCATATCTGTTCCTACCACCAAGATGAATGTCATGATTTCATGACAGGTGAGTTGGGGTCCTTAATGTGATGATATTGTAGATCGATATAGTATGTTTCCAGGACCCAAGTATGAAACTACTCTCAGGACATCTATATTGTTAAATGGTGTGCAACGGATGCATCAATTTGGCAGTAGTTATCGCCTCATCATCATGAACCACCCATGTTTTAAAGGGCTCCTTGGGCTAGTCGGATCATGGCAAATTCGGCTCCATAGGATGTAGTGCATCTGAGCTGTGGCTCCCATTGTTAAATTGTTGCTGCATACCATAAGATACACTAGACTATGAAAAAAAATGATCAACGAGCACCATGCATTTATTATCCATGAGTTTGAGAATAGGAGGAACTGATGTCTGGCTTGGTGTCATGTGGGCTCCATGTTATATCATCGTATGAATCAACGGCGACAATCCATACCAATCAGCATTAGCTTGTATTCGTTTTGTACCCACTCATAACAAACTTGTATTGATCTATAATAATCTATATTCTATAGTTTGGCCGGTACAAACTGATATTTATCAATCAGTACATGGATAGGGTTCCACTCAGTTTGGTTCAATGCCAGGCTTACCACCTGATATGCTTACTATGGTGGTTGGTGGCAAGGTAACCTTACAAGGATTGTGCTGGGCGGTAAGCCAATCGCCCGGTACTAGCATACATGATTCACTTTTAACCGTTTCTAATCTCTCTGTGTCTCTGCCTCTTCATCCCCTCGTCTGCATCTCCACCTCCTCTCCACTGTCAAACATCTTCTCTCTACTGTTGTCAAGTGCATGCATCTCTCTCTCTCTCTATATGGTTGGCCCGTGTCAATTGGCACAGACCTCTACCAACACTAAGGACACTCTGGCACTTTACTGGTCCAGTTATCCGACTTAGGTTTAACTCCTGGAGTGTTCCATCTTTTGCTACATGGTGGTCTATGCGCTAAGATTTCAACAGACCAGTATTTACTAATATTGTCTTTTATGAATGTAGAATCCATGTAGGCAGTTAAACCAAATGAAAGAATACGAAACTAAAAACCCATACATATGTGACATGGATGTGATTTGCATGTGCACAAAGAATGCATAAAAATGTGCTCAAAAGCCATTATTCAAGAGAAGATATGAACAATGAAAATAATGCACAAGAGCATACTAACAGTAATTTGACAAGATGAGCTACTTCCAATTATGCATTGGTAAGCTGCAACCAATAATGTTAAAAAAAAGACTGTATGAAAGTAATGTTTCCAATCTCTCTAGAAGCATTTCTCTTGAGTTTCCTATTTGTTCTCTATTAGAGCACTGCTGTTTGAGCTCTGGGACTATGGAAACAAAAAAGAGATGAAGAATGGAGGAGACGGTTAGTTATAACTAAGGAGATGAAGATACCTCACGAGGCCCCATAGTAAGATTTGTGAGAGAGCTGCATGGGATAAGAGTTATTGGGAGGAAACCCTGGAACAGAACAGTTATACTATATGTTCTTTCTGTCTCTGTGTCTGTCACTGGATGCAGTACATTGATATTTGCTTAGTCATCTTTACAATTTATTTTATCTACTAATATAATTTATTTTTCTTGATGTAGTTATAAATGATTTTCCTTTGGTTTTATGAGCATAGAAAGTTTGGGTTGTTACAGGTCTATGGAAACAACATTGAGATCCAGGCATTTGCTGAAATGTACAATCGTCCTATACATATATATTCTTATAGCACAGGTGATGATTTGGAAATTTGATGATCATATGCGTGTGGTAGAATTGTTAACGTTAGCTCCTAAGTCTTGTGGTTTTATGCAGAACCTATTAATATCTTCCAGGGAAATTATGACACTGACACACCTCCAATTCGATTAAGTTACCATCACGGTAACCATTACAACTCACTTGTTGATCCACTCAGGATGACAGTTGGTGTAGGCCTTGGAATTAGCAGTCTTCGAGAGGTACGTTCTTCTGCATACAATTTTTTTACACTTCTATTGACAATACATTCTCAGAAGTCTCTACATTAGCTCTTTTGGTTGTTCAGAGTAGAGACTAGTGAGTAATACAAGGAGTAATTTTGGCTACTAGTGTAATATACATTTATTGCATGGACTTTTGTGTATTAAATTCTATAAACTTGTGTTTTTATCATCGATCTGGTTGTGGCTTAAATGCTAATAATTTAGGAAGGAATAAAAATTGACTAGACATTGTTGTGTACCTTGTAATTGTATAAATACCAACGTAGCAGGGGCATTACCTAGTTCAGTTATAACAGTCTTGAGATCACTTGTAATGGTTAGGAAGTCTTCTCCCTTGGACGTTGACTTAAACATTTTGGTCACAATGGCATCATTTGTCAACTAGTAGTTGTCTCCTGTTTCTGAGTGATGCTCTTTTTCTTTGTAGAGAAACCTTGATAAGGACCAGGTGAAGGCTGCCATTAGAGCCCAGCAGGACCAGCAAATTGACAATGTAAGTACTGTTGCCTATATGCTCGCTGACTACTACTTTTGCATAACTCTGCTTTTCCAGCTGACCTTTGATCGGTTTCTTGTTGGTTTTCTTCATGTTTATAATTTGAAGATTTCTTATAAGCTGCTATAGAATTATAAAAGTGACAGCAGTATTTTTAAATAAGCTTCTAGGTCTTCGTATAGTGCGAATACCTATATAGTTGTTGCATCTATTTTCTTTTAGTGATTGTATCTGGGCAATAAATCTTTTAATTTATGTAGTCATATTGAAGACCATTCTGTTTTATACCATTTTGATCTAATATTCACACACAAATCCTGAAGCATGCATCGTTCCATCTCATTTCCTGACCCTTTTTTTTTAAATTTGTCACATCTTAGTCTGATCATGTGAATGAAAAGAACTGAATTATCAACCAGCCTTTGCGCAGTCTGTAAAAAGAAATGTCCCTTTGAATTGCCTGTAAGAGTCTGTCCCTTTATGGTGAATTTTCACCATGGATGGCCTGTAAATGTCTGCTCACCAAGGTGAAAAGAAGATAATGGAGGCGGAGGCATACCGGTGAAATGGATGAGGAGGAAGCAGCAGCAGGAACACGGTCAGGAGGGGAAGAGAGAGCATACGAGAGAATGAGAGGATGAAAGAAAGAGAGCATGCATGAGAGAAGGCAAGAAAGAAAAATATAAAGGAAAAAAAAAACGAAAGATATGGTGTTAGAGTCATTCAAAATAAAAGAATAATACTGATACGGGACTAAAAATTTATTGCTTGGTACAATTCAATATGATCTGTTTGCCATCCACTAAGCTTTGGTGTGGTGGGCTTACCGAACTGTAACATTCCATATACTGCATTGAACCAGGAGAAGTCAGCCAATCTGTATTCAGATTTCCAGTTAGGCTGTTAGATTAGTAAATAACTACCTGTATTGACCAGTAGCAGTATTTTAAATCTTGCCTTTAATGATGCTGGCTTCCTATTTTAGCGATGCTAATCTCGACTCCTATGTACCAGCTCTCTGTTTTTGAAGGATTGTTCTTATGAGTGTTCTTTTCATTTTTCACACTAACATATTATGCTTCAGCATGATTGAGTAATTATGCTTGTCTCAATTTTTGGCTCTCTGTACCTCTCTGTTTGCTGGGTTTTCTCCTTTTCTCCGTCTATTTTAATGAGTAAAACAACTCCATGTTGCTCAAGTCTAATTCTTATTAAGCTTCAAAACTTTCTTATTAAGTTTCAAATGTCTGGTGGTGGTTGTGTAGAATGCTTCCACCAAAGGAGGTTCTTCAGATTTTATTACTGCTTTTCCCCTTAAATATACTTGGATAATTCTCATGTCTTTTGCTGATGTCAATGGTTCCTCTATAAAATGAGATAAAGCATTTAGTTATTGTGCAAAAGAAGTGTCCTTGACATCATAACGTCAAGTACATCACATGTTTGTGATGATACCTAGTTGTCCAATGTTTTTTACCATGAGTTTTTCAGATCCTAGATCATGGTTTATCTACTCCTATTGCTCCCGTTGATATATATTTTCTTCATTTCTTAATGTAGAGTTCCAGTTTTTCCAATCTTTTAATTGATGATCCAGCTGTGCTCTCGGCAAATATTAAAACTAAGTAGATTGTGATCATTATTACCCAAAACTTGACCTGAAACCCCTCGCAGAAACTTGTGTCGTGCATACATCTTTAAATTCCATTTTCAAGATACAGCATGCAAACTGTTTCTTTCACATTTCTTGGTTCAATTACTGCATCGTAGGTTAGTAACAACAGCCAAGTTAGTTCTTAGCTTGTGCATCTTTGGTTTCGAATTCTGATTTAGGTTGTTCATGGCAGTTTAATGTTCTCAAGATTATCAGTGTAAAGAACCAAGTTTGGCATTTAATAGATAATCTTTTAAAATTTATAGCTTGTTTCGAGTAACAAGTTTCTTGCTTGGAACATTGCAAGTCTGGTATAGTGGGGCTTCTTTCTGCGATACGAGGCGTCTAAAGATTTGCATGATGACAGGCACTTGTGGCTGAGGGACGTTTTTACTCTGATCTTGAACTGACAGAGAAGGAAATCGAGCGGATGGTGATGGAGGCTTCACGGGCAGAATATTTAGCCAAGGACAACCTGAAGCAGTATCCTTCGTTCCGAGAGTCCTCCACGTCTAGGGCGGAACCATCATCCTCTGTGGCAAGTGAGTCCCTCTCGTGTCTAATTGCATCCAAATCTGAAGTTAAATGCAAATAGTAGTCTTTTGTCTGTTCATGATGAAAAATTCAATATATTGCAAACAGCAACAGGGTCGTCTCGATCTACACTGGAGGCTGATGGCCAGAGAGTCTTTTTGCCAGAGACGGTGCCCACCAGCAGCATGCACACGGTTCTGTCGATGGGTTTCGGTTACATGCAGGTCATCGAAGCATACAGCATTTTTGGTGATGATGTGGATTCCATGGTGTGCTACCTGCTGGAGATGGGAGGCAACAGGTCTCCCCTTGGCAGGAATAGACATAAAGGGAAAGCAGCAGAGTGAGCCTCTACAAGCTTAGCATATAGCAGGGTGCATATGGCATATAGTGTTTGTAGACACGGTCGGTTTAATAAGGATGTTATGAAGGAAGGATATCAGATGCTACCATTGTTGTAGCCATGATGGAGCTCTGAAGCTGTAGAGCATGCAGCTTTCGGCATGAGGTGCTAGTTGTGAGTAACGTCATGAACTAGACGGCAAGTCTTTTAATAACACTGTTGCCATGGATCATAAAGAATGAAGAAGGGCTTTCGCTTCTTTGTTGGTCCTATTCTTCTCTCTCTCTCTCTCTATCTATCTCTCTTACAGGTTGTGGATTTTGAGCCATTTTGGGTTGTAGATTTTAGACCACAGAAAAATAAAGAAAAGGAATACTCTGAAAAAAATAAAGGCTAACTTTCTTTTAAAAGTTTTTTTATTTTTATTTTTTTCTGTTATTTTTTAATATATTTTTGTAAAATATTTTTTTTTTAATTTTAAAAAAAAATAAAAAAAAAAATATATCTATGTGATGTCATATATTTTGTTAGTTTTACTTAAGTCATTCAATATCTTTGGATGTCTGTTCATAAATAGTCAGCTTTTCTATGCTCCCTTAAGAATCTACAAAAGAGAATGACGTAACTTAGGAGGGGATACGCCTTGATGGATAATATAAATTATGAACGTAGACTTTGCAATATCTAAACGATCATATAATAAAGGGTTTAAGGTGACTTATCGTGACCTAAAGTCTTCATAAGTGTCCACATGATACTATTGCGAATCAAAGCAATGATTATTTCTGGGTAATTTTACCTTTACGTGATGATTACACAATCTGTGTTTACAAGCTTGAAATGACCACAAAAGTCAACTAAACTAGGTCTATTGAACCTATTGTAAACCCTCTACATGCTATGTAAAATATGAACAAAATCGAAAGATATGGACATACATTAGCATTACATCGAATATCCTGTTTATAGCTTTGTCCGTGATATTCTCTCATACTTATTCCTTCGACGTCCTTGTTGTAGCCTTTACGGACACTACATCTCCTCACCTTTACTGTATCTTCAATCTTCTACTCCAGTAGCAACGTGCCTCTTGGCTCTCAGTTGCTCTCCGTCATTGTTGTTGAGTAGTCGAACTTTGATTCGCTACGTTGCTTCAACCCGCCAATGACTCTGACTCTAATATGGAGTTGGTTGAGTTTGTGTGGATCATGTTTGGTTCCTACGAATCCTTTAGATGAAGGAAAAGACATTCCTTATTATGTGCCAATCTCTTAAATGTCTCATGCTGCTTGAACTGGGTGGATGCCTATTAGAACTTTAATGAGTATCACTTTACCGACTTCGAAGTTTTTTTTGGGTTTTTCCTTCACAAAATTTGCCCATCGATTCTTCTTCCACTTTGTTGTCACCTCTAAGTAGGTTCATATCACTTTTGATTTCGATCAACATTTTATTGAAAAATAAAGTAAAAAGTCTTACTCTCAATAGCACTGATTATCATTGGTGATGATTTGACAATTGTTGTCTTTCACTAAATTTCCTCAAAGGACCTTTGAACCTATGCAGAGCTCCTGTGCTGGATAAATAAGAAAACTATGGTACTAGGTTTTGCCCATTTTTTTACGAGTTAAAAAAACAAAGGTTACTTGGTTTCGCCCGCCTCCTCAAGAGTTGTATTTAGTGCATTAAGCTGGTTACTAGTCTTCGTTTGCTCTTTACTCACACGTTCGAACCACCCAATTGTTGGTGTTATTTGCGTTGAGTTAGCTATTGTGATTCGCCTTCTTACTGCTATCGAACTTTTAAAATGCAAGAAGTTTTACCCAAAAAAGAGCAAAAGTGCATCTCGACTTAGATCAAGTCTCTAATAGTTTTGGTCATCTCTGGGATTGTGATATCTTCTCCATCATCTCTATCGCCTACTCCTTTGAGTAGAAAAGGTATTGTACTGTGTACTGCCTACTTCTTTCTTTGGTCGAGCACTCCTGCATCGTCCCGAAGTCTCCCCACTTTTGACTATTTTGATGAGAAGCCCATTAGCGTCGGTCTTATGAAGTGTCTTGACTTCTGCCCTTCATCCTTATCTCGATACTTAGAGTTTGCTTGTTCATTCTCCACCTCAGCCCCTTTTACGACCAAACGCTTTCCCTATATAAGAGCAATGAATTATTGACTCTACGAAAATCTTGCCACTGCGGTACTATGGTGTTGCCATGTCAATGGCTCTATTATCTAGTGCTTCGCATCTACGTCCCTTTCTTCATGATCGGTAGATCCGCCTCTGTGGCACTATGACAATCATCTAAGTTACCTCCATTATAATCGACGCTTGGTTTTGGGTAGCTGAGTCCCTCTGGACTCGTTGCTTCCTTATCCTTTTCGATCACTAAGTTCAACACTTCTATATTCTCCAAGAAGTTCCACCTTTGATTGTATTCGCTCCTTTGGCAATTGACCTTCGTCCACTCACTCTCGGGTCATACCCGAACACCACTTTGCACTCATCGATACTTTACCGGAGCGTGAGAGCATGCAAAATCACCTCCATTGTGCACTCACATGGTGATTATCAAGTTCCGATTGTACCCCCACACCACTTTGCACTCGTACTTCTCCCGAGGGTGAGAGCGTGAGGATCACCCTCCATTGTCCACTCCCATGGCAATTGTCAAGTTTTCATTGTGCCCTCACACCCACTTTGCACTCATCGAGACTTCTCCTGAGGCCGAGTGTGCGGATCACCACCATTGTCCACTCCCATGGCAATGGCAATTGTCAGTATCAGGTTCTAATTAATTGTGCCCCCACACCACTTTACACTCGTCAGTACTTCTCCTGACTGCCACCGACAACAAGGCATCTAACACTCCGTGTCCAAAACTCCCGTGCAAGTGAGTTAAGACAAAAGGCGATGACCGACCGACCGACCGACGAGAACGATGAAAGAAAAAGAAAAGAAGACGATAATTGAAAAAGAAATGAAAATAAGGATCTCTCTAGAAAATAAATGAAAAAGAAAACGATAATTGAGAAAACACAAAAATGAGATATTTATCCCCCCAAAAACAAAAAAGCAGTTTCTTTAAGTTCTCCTGAATCGTAAACAAGAACGCACACTATGTGCACGACCCAATAATAATAATAATAATAATAATAATATAAAAATAAAAAGGTAAAAAGCGAAGGAGTTCTTAGCGACGACATGATAACACAAGTATAACATCTTCTAACTAAAAAACACACATGGCACATGATATAAGACCGGTATCAAACCACAAAGTCAACTAAGTATCAAACCAAACAGCTATTCTGAGATCTAGGTTTAAAAAGATTTCCCTCATAAAAACTTGAGTCTGATTTCACTGAACTCTTCTCATCATTAAAATCAGTGCCGCCAAGATAGATGACGAGAGGACAAGCAGCAATGAGTCACAAGTTAGTTCCTAGTAGCAAAACATGGAGACAACATCGAACAAAAAACAACCTCGATTTACTTGTTTCTGAAAACAAAATACATATTACTGCAACGCAAGATGCAGATTCCTCTGCTACATGCAAGTTCATCCAAATGCTTTCTTTTTTCCTTTTTTTTTTTCAGAAAAGGATCTCGTCATCAGTTGCTGGGGTTCAGGTACGTTGCTGAATCAAATTTGGTACAAAACGAGTTTTCTTACCGGACAAATAGATCATTTGCACTCAACGAAAATGATGCTGGAGGTTGCCTACTTTGCTGCAGCTCAAAATAAAAGGGGGCAGTACCAAAGTGTTAATCATGTATCCTGTTGTCGGTTGTGTTCTCCCCAACCACTACTGCTTCTGATGTACTTATCCACAATACCAAATTGCCTATTTTGTTCAAGCCGCCTTGCGTAGTTCTCAGTAGAAATAGGACCCTTTTTCGACTGCCGATAATAGATCATTTCCCATGGCCACATTCGAGCAGCACCAAAGTATTCCTCCACAGTTATGCTACTGTGGCTCTCTTCTGGAGCTTCCAATCCATAGTGTTTCAGAGCTAAGAACATCTCCTCTGTTGTTAATCTAGTGGAACTGCTTGCCTCTTGTTGGGTGGATGTCCATCTCTTCAGCTTAAGAGGGAGATCTTCATGTTGGTCGCTCTCATATTTAGAATGATCTGAGCATATATTTTTCTCATTATAATCAGTCCTGATTGTGGGATCCTCCACGACATCTACATTATACCCAAAATGTTCACCACTAATTTCGTTATCCACCTTGAAAGAAGTGCTTGGGTTTCCATCTTCCAACATTGTACATGCATCGTCAGCTTTGTTACATTCCAATTGCTCAGATGTGGGGCTTGTCACATTCTCATCTGAGGAGGTTTTGGTGGAGTGCCCTATTTGCTTGTTATTCGATGGTGTTACCTTCGGCTCCAGTGAGACAGATAAGGACATTGATCTTGATCTTGACCTCGACCTTGACTTCGACTGAGACCTTGACTTTGACTTTGACCTTGACCTTAACCTTGACTTAGATATAGAGCTCACAGATTTCGAGTAGGAAGAGGAACTTGAATCAGAAACTGAGCGAGACCGAGAAGATGCAGATCTCAAGTGTGAAGGAGAACTAGAACCAGTAACAGATCTGGACGACCTAGAATGCAACTGTGAGCTGCTTCTATCAGATGCAGAAGAAGAAGATGGTGTACTAGATTTCCTATGCCGTCCTTTTTTCAGTGCCTTTTTCGATGCTCCATTTTCCAGCTTGCTTTTTCTTTTAGATGGAAAATCTTTTCTGAGCTTTGGCCTGTGTCTTTTCCTACTTTCTGGAGATCTCTCAAATTCCCTGCTCATTCCTCTAGCCTTTACAGAATGATATTCCTTTCTATCCCGTTTGTGACGCCTTGATACCATTGGATCTCTACTGATATCAGGTGATCCCCATGAATTCGATCTAAACCTCTTTATTCGTCTTCCTTTTTCTCTAACATTTACTTCTTCCTTACTGCTGTTAAATTTGCTAAATTTCTCTCTTCGAGCATCTGTTTTAGGGCAGGTACGCATAATGTGACCAACTTGACCACATTTATAACAAGTCTGCTGGGGTTTTAACATATCAATTTTTCTGTCGTTACCATGAATAGAGTTCTCTCTCTGCCTCTTTTCTCGAGAAATACCTCTATCCCTAGAACTAGGGCTATCAATCTGGACGTTTTCATTCTCATCCCTTTTATCATACCCATGGTAAGGTTCATAACGGTCAAACTCATCTCCATTATCAATTCCATTGCTATTCAATGTGTCTATAC